GGGTCCGGTGGAGGGCTTTGGTTAATTCGGTGATGAACCTTTGTGTTCCGTAAGCCATCTGGTTGGTTGGGTCCACTATTTGGGAAACCTGAAGGGAAGAGACCGCTGGAGAGACCTAGACGTAGATGGGAGGATAATCTCAGGCGGGATCTATGGGAGATAGGAGTTGAAGGAGACTGGATTTTGTTGGCCCAGGACAGGGTCTGGTGGAGGGCTTTGGTTAATTCGGTGATGAACATTCTAGTTCCCTAAGCAATATATTTAGTTAGTTGTAACGTAAGGAGTCTACAGATTTCTCCTTGAGAAGGTAATTGTCGCTCGGATAGCCAAAAAATTCACAGCTTGTCATGGTTTCCAAAATTTTGTTAGTGTGTTCACAGAAGCCAACCAATGAACCATATCCAAACTACACCCTACATAATAATTTTAATATTATCTCACCATCTACGCCTAGGTCTGCAAGTGGCGTCTTCTCTTCATGCGTTCTTTGGTGAGTTACGCTAACGTCGAACACGTCATAGGAACTTAATTGGATTGAGGTTCGGTTCTGTTCATTGCTGCCATAATTATTTCTGATGAGAACCAAATCGCCTTTTTTTTTTCAAATTTATTTTTGTTTCGTTTGAACATACAAGTTTCTGTCTGCCAAGCAATTTCTTCATACGGATTTTAAGATTCTTGCGTTGTTCGTAACTGTTGTTTATGTCACACAGTTCAGAGATGCATTCGGTGCTGGTATTCTGGGTCGCAAATCCGTGTGGACGTTTAGGTAGGTACCGACGTTTCGTACGAATACGGTGTCTCCTACAAGTCCACACGTCGTTACCACCCAGAGGACAGACATCAGGAAGGAGTTCGGCGCGCCGAGGTCTGGAAGGCGATAGACTAGTGGTGATTAGTGAGTGTAAGCGGTTTTATTACGACGTCCAGGTTACAGAAGGGCTAACTAGTGATGTGGGGGTGTCTGCTTCTTCTCGTGGGGTACGCTGCGTCCCAGGCGGGGGGAGTAGACGTCGTGGGGCAGGCGATCACGCCCCATCCGCGGTCTGAAGGGCACCAGGCGACGCCCCAGTCTGGGGGCGAACGGCGGCGACCTCTGCTCCATCATGTCGGCGTCTTCGTCCTCATTGGAGTCACGACCCAGACGAGGGACGAAGCCTTCTATGTGCCTCTTGCCTCCTGCAAACAACAGCACCAAGTTATCGCCTTCCTGGCCTCATTACCAAATTCTGTGCTGTTCTCTATCAAGCGTTTGTCGTCCTCGAAGTGAGTGTACACACACAGAGGATGGCTGTCTTCTGGGTTGCAGCTCCGCCGTGTTATCTGGTAGAAGTTTACCAACGTTTCGGAGGTCCTTTCCGCCTCCATCATCAGGGCGATGATCGGTACAACCCACAAGACAGTCATCTTAGGACTCACATAAATGTTAAACATGGAGAGAATGAATGGAATGAATTTCCTGTGCTCGAGTGTGATCGTGATACGGCCAGAATCAGACTCTTGTCAGGCAAATTAAATATTATACGCGTATATAGAAGTTCTGTTCTAGACGCGAGACGTGTGATACATTCAGCTCTGACGTCATCACCGAAATGATTTTTCGCTTAAATTTCGTATTTGCTTTTGTCAGCAAAGTAGAAACCGGCTCGAGTCAGCTGATCGGGGGCTGATGTTCGTTTGGAAAATTAAGCTTTAAACTTTTCTGCTTCAACCACGCAACTTTAAAACGTCAAAGAAAAAGTTCTTTGTGCCGTGCGTCACTTGCGTTCAGGTGTCTCGTGTTTTCTTTTAATCCGCGGAACAATAATTTCACCCCGAAGGGTATAAACTCGTGTGGTTTACAGTGGGTTCATCATCTGACATCCGTTGACAAAAATCAAAATTTTACTACAAATGCTGGCATGTCGCTTATTGACCAAGGGCCGCCATGTTTGTACTGTCTCATGCTGCACCTACCTCTGAGAGGAAGCAGGGCCCACGGAGTGTCCTTGAGTAGTTCCATTACCTCCTCCACCCTGATGTCGGCCACGTCTTCCGGGAAGTCGTCGACTGAACGTTTCTCTCTTCGTCCCAGTCGAGGTCCGAACCACATCCCAGTCACCTCTGGTTCCCCCCTCTTCGCCGCCAGAGGGTCGTCCCCTAACCCCTCCAGACCCAGGAGGAGCCCGTCCTCCAGTGGATCTGAGCTCAGCCGGAAACCTGGAACCGAACTTCAGACGTGGGTACAGCGCGGATCTCGCAGTCACTCAGCTAATCACTAAATTTCGAGAGACAGGACTTCCCAAGAGCCGTATGACTCCTGTCCGCACGCATTTTAATATTATCCTCTAGCCGTACACTCTCTGGTTTTGCAAGTCGCGTCTTTTATTAACGACTTCCGATCAAAATTTTGTTAGTGTTTCTCTTTTCCCCGTTCGTACTGCGTTTCCCGACCACCTCACCCCCTTTCACCATCAACTTCTTGCGTCTTCATTCCGTGACCTGATCTTAAGTTGAAAGGTCAAGCGGTCTCTAATCCGGGGAGTCGGGGTCTTGTTCAGACACTCGACAGGAACGACTGGACGTCTTTTCACGGCCTTTAAAATTTCTCACACAAAATAATCGGAGTTTTATATCGCATTTCGAGAACGTCGGTCAGATAAATAGAATCCGTGGTGAGACTGGACTTACGTAAATAAATATATAATAAATCAACTTCAAGGTTTTCTCCCCTGCGGACAGCCTAAAGGACGAGTAACTGGTTAACTTAATTTATATTCATACTTTATGTCGGTATCGGAACATTAAGTTTTATGAGATGGTAAAGTTGCGTCATATTGTGATATAATAAATATATATTATTTAAATCTTGTCCGTCTAATCACAATAAATTCTTATTAAATATTAAAATATTACAATAATTAGCATTTAAAATATTTAAAATATTATTCATATATATCAAAAATGAAAAATGATGGTCTAATGTAAATCGAATATTTCGATAAAGAACATCATTTGATATATTTTAAATATTTTAAATGTTAATTATTGTAATATTTTAATATTTAATAAGAATTTATTGTGATTAGACGGACAAGATTTAATATATACTTATTATATCACAATATGACGCAACTTTACCATCTTATTATTACTTTACTTAAATTTAAAGCATTCGGCCAATCAGAAACTGGCTTTTGATATCAAACCTTTTCCCTGTCAAATCAGAGTACGGCTTTAGGATATGTTTAACGACACTGTATCAGCTGATAAAGGATTTATAAGCTTCGTATTTTTATAAGTTGTCATATTTAAAATTAATTTCCGGATAGATGATTTTTGATAAAATTCGAATTGGATTGAGCCGGCTCCGCGTTCCTATGCTACCGTGAAAGAGTTACTGAAACGTCGGTTTTATGACAAAGACTATTTCCTACATCACGAAGTTACGTACTTTATCTGATTTGTGTCCGTCTGTCTGAGTTCCTTAGACAAAGTCCGTGAGGGAGAGTTACGTACCATCGCAGGAGGCCAGGGCGACCACCAGACACAAAAGAACGATTGTGTGGATGAGATGCTGCTGGGTGCTGAAGTCGGTCCTCATGGTTGAGCACTGCGAAGAAACCCTGAGATGCGACGCCCTTTTATACGAGTCCAAGGCGATTTCAGGGCGCGTGAAACTGTCACACCTCGTCGTCTTCTCGACAGGGGGCGCGCGACGCCTACACGCCACGCAGAAAACGTTGGACCTCCGCGCGTCGGAACTCCGAGGTCTTGGGCGGAGAAACACCCAATTTCGAGGGTTTTAGCCCAGGCTGGATCCAGACGACGTGATATTTCTTTAGAGAAATGTCCGAAAGTCGGCGATAGACATTTCTACATCCAGATTCACGACTTTATAGAATCCAACATGGCTGTTGCGCGAACTTCAGAGTGTTTCTCAATTTACAAGAATTTGCGAGTAATGACGAAAATGTTCGCCTTAAGTCATCACCACGTCAAATCGCGTCTTTCTGGTCGGAAGAGGCGATCTCTAGATATGGACGGTAACTGCGAGGAAAAGTTGCGGACGTCTGATAAGGGGTGGTCCTCTAAGTGGGGTGTTAAAAATCTTTCGCGGTGAATGACTTGTTATTGAATCTTACACACAATGTCTGGCTCGTGTTATTTATTTGATACGACATAAAGGACGGAAATAATAATATTAAAATGGATCTTATAGAATTGAGATATGAAGGTGGTTTACGCCAGTCGCTTGGCACGAGATTTTGTGTCTGCGGTGCTGGAATTGTTTCTCCGATTTGTAACCTCGTCAAGGAATGAATTTGATTTCAGAAATCGTAATTTGATTTGTTTCAAAATCCTCTGGAGGGATCAGGGTCTATGTCAATTACATAAACCCTGATGATGGAGACAGAGCGAGTCTCCGAAACGTCGGTTTCTAACTTATCGCTGACACGGATAATCGCCCGAGAGGATTTTGTTTTGTTATCAAAATACGAATCTTAGGACTGGAGAATTACAAGCTTTAGGGAGCCAAATTCTGTGCCAGCGATTTCTTGTGCTGGAAATGGGCGAATGTGAGCTACAGGACGTTTCAGAGTTGGTACAGTTTTTGAGGCTCTGGTGAGCTCTCAAGAGACGTTCTCTTTTCCTGTTGAAGTCGACCTGTTCCACAGGCGCTGGTTTTAAAGTCTCAACGTGCGAATACCAGGCATTTCGGGATTGCACATTTTAAATTTCTCACAAAACGTCCTCCCTCTGGGCTGAGGCCAAGCCCAACGCGTCATAACTTGTAAAATATCCTCTAATTTAAATATCCCCTTTGCATTGTCTGCCTCTGATTGCAGTTCAGACAATAACGTTACTTCTAGACGCAGAGTTTACAATTGAACCTGTGCACATGTTTCATAATCACCGTACCAGAACACAAGATGCCCGTATGAACTAGAAATTCGAATTATAAGCAGCCATTTGCTATTTTCGTACTTGCTAACCCACTTCGGATTTCAACCTGAAGTCCGGGTATTATGACATGTCCTTCCGGATGGTTGCCCGTTCACTCCGTCAAATCCACCTTGTATAATTATGTCCCATTCACCGCTATACAAATACTAGAGTTGATAAAATGCCTTTTAGCTCAGTCAGTATAGTGACTGACTGCGGGTTGGACGACCGGGGTTCGATCCCCGACGGGGACAGAGGATTTTTTCCTCTAGCCTCTGGGGCCCACCCAGCCTCCTCTACAATGGGTACCGGGGTCCTTTCCAGGGGGTAAAGCCGGCCGAGGCGTGATGCTGACCACTCACCCCATCTGTTGCCGAGGTTAAGAATTAATAGGAGCTGTACCTCTCTCCCCCCAAGCGCCTACATGGAGTATAGTGAAACAGCTTTAATTTTTCTTTAATAAGACGTAAGCTAACCAAGCAACATGGCGCTCTGTCACCCAGAAGTGGGGTAGACGAGGCTCTGGATTTGAAGACGACGACGTGGAGTGACCTTGAGCGTGTGACGTGCCTGGGGAAGAACGTCATTTGTTTGAAAATGAAGCCCACAGTTCTGCTTTCAGTTCTGAAATCCTCTATTCAAAGAAGTTGTGTTTCAATTTCGTTTGCGTGGGCTACTGGCTGGCTGTTCGGTTGTTTTACGACGCAATTTAGCAACGAAATGACAGTGCATGAGACCTAATTTAAGAAACGAGGAAGTTTGCGGATAACCGGATGGAATATGAAGTCGGTTCGTGCCCGAAGGAAGGCGAGACGCTTACCGCTGCGATAACCCACTGTGTCTCTGGATGTCAGAGGGGGAGAATGTGTCGGACTGAATAGTAGAACGTGCAAGGAAATTGCTTACACCACGCCGTGTGATGAATAACGAGACGTGGCGTGGATTACATCGATTACAATTAACATGGCGGACTGTTTTGTCTTAAGGCTACGCGGTGCTGTATCAGGTCAGCTCTTACGACCGAGGCGTCTTCGTGGTGTTCCTCAGTACGCGCAAAACTAAGTCTGGCCGGGGACCTGAAGTGACCCCACTTGTCTGCAGTGTATTTGTCATAAGCGACGTTTCGGGAGTTGGCGCTACTCCCTTCTTCAGGTCACCGGTTGTCGTCTTACTGACAGTCCGAGACAAATACAGAAACTTTTGAGTGTTACTGTAGTTCACTGAAGACAATTTGAAAATGAAGAAAGGAGTTCGTGGTCGTGAACTGTACCTCAGACAATAGGCAATTTGGAACGTAATATTTAATAATAATAAATCAGCCTTTCTCAAATAACCACGGAGAATCATCTTCAAATAGAAAAAAATATCACGCTTTTCTAATTCATTGTACAGAGACTTCTTCTTATATCGCATGATAATAACTTCTGTACTAGATAGAGCGTCATTTAAGGAACATTAAAACAAACCAATCAGGTGCACACATTATGAATCGGTTGATGAGATGGAGTATCTTTAATCATAAGAAATTAAAACGGCGTTGGGAGACGTGAGGTTTGTTACAGACACTGCGTTACAATCTCAAAGAAAGAAATCGATTCTTTGATCCCGTGCGTTTTCTGTCTCGAGCTGGCTGACCCGGGGATTACTCCAGGACGCCCTGGACGACGGTGCAAATTATTAATAAAAGATGGCGTCATTTATCTTACATAGACACTAGATGATAAAGTTGCGTCATATTGTGATAAATATATATTTGTTTAAATCTTGTCCGTCTAATCACAATAAAATCCCTATTAAATATTAAAATATTACTATAATTAACATTTAAATATTTAAAATATATTAAATGATATTCTCTATCGAAATGTTCGATTTACATTAGAACATCACTTTTTTACACGACATGTTTCAGTTCTAAAAGAACCATCTTCAGGTGTATAAAATTATATAAACTTAAATATAATTT